TATATTTATATGATGAACACACACACACATCCCCACCTGCACACACACACAATGTATATATAATATATATTTTGAAAAGTCTGCAATATGAGAATATATTTATATAACATTTTTTATATATTTATATATTATATAAAATATTTTTATTGTATAAACTTGATATATATAAGTTCTGAATGCATTGTATATATGTATTTATATATAAGACAAATAAAATATTTATTCATCAAATATATAATGTCTGATATTTGTATGTGTATATATAACTTATATATAGTAATTAAATCTATATATATATTATATTTGTGTATATATATGTAATATTATATAAAACTGTATTATTAAATAAATATGGTTTTATATCGTTTATACCAGCATGTTTTTTTTTTTTTTTTAATATTCTTGATTTGGCTTGGTCTATAATTATAATGCATTTATATATATATATAAAATGATAGAAAATATTTAATGTTACTGTGTTTTCTGTAATTATATATATATTACATGATATATATAATTGTGTATTAACTTATATATATAGTTCAAAATATATATATATTTGTTTTATAAACAGCCAGCTTAATATATTTTCTGTTTTATATATAGGATGATTATGTATGTTTGTGTATATAATTTTTTTAAAACATGTATGTGTATATATATAATGTATGTAATAAAAAAAAAAAAAAAAAAAATATATATATATATATATATATATATATATATATATATGTATGTGCTTATTTATATAATATGTATGTGTGTATATTTATACATATATCTTATATATATCTACATATAGTACGTATATGTGTGTAAAAAATATATATAGTATGTATATGTGTGTATATATATATAAAGGTTACATATAGTATGTTTATATATATATCAGTAGTATGTATGTCCAATATTATATATTTGTGTATGTTTATACCTGTATGTATAGTATTTTCTGTTCATATTTATATATATATATAGAATATAGTGTATGTATGTTTGTGTATATATACGTAGATAGTAAGTATTTGTTTATATATATACATAAAAACGCATAGCGGTATTTGTCTCATTGTTGTGTATATATATATATACATATATATATATATATATATATATATTGTTTGTATATAGCACGGAGATGTTCTCCAGTACCTCTATGTCTTTGGCATACAGTGAATTTTTATTATAGACTGTAATTATATTTTAATTAAGTTTCTTTTTATAACAATGATTTTCTTCAGTGTAATTGGCATTATTAAAGTGGTAGTGATTAAACAATGAGAAAGAAACTGGCAGACACAACTGCCTCTTTCCACAAGGTTTTCAATGCTTATAAATGTATTAAATTAAATTTCTGATGTCCATGCTGAAATTAATAAGCATCAAATTAAGGTGCTATATTAAGAGAGTATCTGACATTTAATTAGCCTGTCAGTGAGATCTAGAATACATTGACTGCATCTGTTGGAGAAGCAAAGTTCCCTCCTACAAAAGGGGGCACATTTCAGATGGATGCTAGCAGACTCAGCCAACCAATGTTTGCCTATAGACACAAGTATATTATGAAAACTCAGTATCAAACAACCCAACAAATGTTGATATGTCATAAAATCAGCCCACCTAACATTTAAATCTACATCAAAATGAGAGCTTTTAACTCTGTTAAATTATAATAAAGGACTTCAAGAAATATATATATGAGATGAGAGACAAAGTGGAAAAGCTTATAAATGTCACACTTTGCCTCAATACTTTTTTCAAGGCTTTTTCAGGTTGGAATGAAAGATAAATTTATGTGTATGGGAAACATCGTAGGAATTTTGTGGAATATAGGGGCAGTAAATTAAAGTACCTTATCACATCTAATGACCAGTAACAAAGTATCTGTTTCGTATATATATATATATATATATATATAGTAAATACACATATACCTACGTTTGTAGTGCAACTTAGTTTCATGGTTTATCAATTCTTCAGGCACATATGGTAATTGAACCGCTTATTACAGTTGGATATTTTTTTACATTTTGGGGGTGAATTAACAGAGAAGATCCGAAAAATGCTGCTAACTTAGTCTACTGTCTTTAAGTCAAAGAGAAAGCAATGACTTCTTGAAACTGAGTTTGAATATGAAATTTCAACCCTATTATCTACTTTTCAGAATAATTTATATTCCTAACTCCATTCTTAACTAATAACAGTAATTGGTTCAAGATTTTAAAAAAAGTAACATTTCTCATTACACCACAATGTGTAGTGTTGCCTAAAATTAAATATAAGATATAAAATTGTTCTTTTCTGAAATTCATCTGAACATTGACAGATGCAAGGGAAAACAGATAAGAATGATTTGAGAAATCTATACAAATTACTCATTCATAAGACTTTTCTTAAATTATGGCTGTGCTTATTTTCTTTTAATAATCCTACAGTTAAATTGAAAATAAAACTGTGATGTACTTACCATTCATCTTTGTGCAATTCTGAATTAGTTTTTAAGTGATTTTGTAAATTTCCATGTTTATGATAAATTTTAGGTTTTATGCTCATTATAAAAGTGCTCTTCATTGTCTCTTGTTCTTTTGCAAAATGTTTAACACCCTATTGTTCTAAGTTTTTTTTTTTTATGTCATTTTCATGGTGTTTCTTTAATCTCTCTTAAGTATATGCATTCCTGGACTGCCTCCAGTTCTTCATCTATCTTTATGATATTTCACAGAAAGAATCAGTTATTTTTATTATATTTATGTTTATTTTGCAACCTCCATTATGACTTCCCTATTTAGCTCATTTATTATTTCTTGTAAATCATCCAACGATTCAGATATTAGTAAAATGCTGCCAGCAAATCCTTGAAGGTTTACATATTGTCTGAGTATGTTCATCACTTCTTAGTTAATATTTAGAAAGATAATTTCAAGATTTGTATATTTTTATAAATTGATATTTTCAAGACATTGTGAAATCATATCCTATTGCTCCAATCTTTATTTTATGAGCTTTTGTGCTGTCAAATTTTTGCAGTCCTGTTACATTGTATATATAATTTTTTGTTAATACCTTGCTCTTATAGTGAGTTAAAGACTGAAGACTGTCATACATTCTAATAAGTCAAATGACTTTTCACAGTCAACCTCTGCTAAATAAACTGCATTGGCATGATGCAGTATAGGTCTAGTGTAGGTGATCATTACTGCTATAATGCATTCAAACCTTACTAGATGACCTAGACAAAATTCTACATTAAATGATGAAACAACTCACACCTTTATTTTAAAAGTGGAATTACTATTTCTAGGTTTATGCTTTCAGATATTTTTCTTTTCTGTATGCATTGAGTAAATAGTTGTGCTAATTCTTTGTAAAATTCTTTTGCCTCTTTCAAAAGGTCTGTTTCTATGCCATCTTCCCCTGGTGCTTTTCCGCATTTCATATTTAACTTTCAGTGCAGAAAATTGCTGATTATCTGTGTAGATTACAGATCAGGGAGAGCAGCATGCCATTCAGCAGTGAAAAGAACTTTTGGAAAAAACAGTTTTCTTTTTCCTGAGCATTTCTTATACATCGTCCAGGTTCATCTTCCTTTTTTTTGTTTCATTTATGCTGTTGATTCTTCTTTTATATGCCATGTTCCTTCAGGATGTAGTCTATCATGGATCTCCACATCTTCCTGTTCCTTGTAGCTCTTAATAACTTTTGTCTTTTTGTTATCTCTCTGAAGCCCTGTATATTACATGCTGCTTTCTTTTATCCCTCTTTCCCTTAATCTGTCCTATGAGTATCAGATTTTCCAAACCTTCCTTCCTCATTATGTGCTCCAGAAACTTCAACTACCTCTTCTTGATGTTAAGCTTCCTTTTTGCTTTCATTTTTAAAACCTCATTGTTGTTCACATATTCAGTACATGGTATCCTCAGCATCTGTCTGTGCAACAACATTTCTGTTGCTTCACGTCTCTTCATCTTTAAGGACATTGTCCAGCATTCACTGTCATATAGGAGAACAGGTATGTTACAGTTCAGTACACTTTTCTTTGTTTCTTCCTCTTAATACTCTGCTTAGCTTTTGGAATGCATCTTTGCCCATTCAAATGTGCTTTCCGATCTGTGTCACATTTTCTATCCTCTGTTCAAACACTTCTGAGATATTTAAATTTTTGTACTTGTTTGATTTTAGTATTTCTGATTTGTAATTTGCATTTTGAGCTCATCCTTTTGCTGCTGTTGGTTAGCTGACTCCCAAGAGGATATTTCCCCAATCATTACAATCTTAACCTGTTCATGTCTAGAGTTAGCCTTTATTGTTCCCACATATCCTTATAAACTGTACCTCTTACTCTGTAACCTTCTACCTTGAGTGGTTCTTGGGCCTTGTACAGGGTGGACATAATTGTAAAAAAAATGCTGAGGTTATGTTCTATTATTAGTTTGTCCATTTTGTAGTCTTTAGTTATGCTTTGAATATTATATATGTATATTTTCAATGTGTGTGTGTATTTCCAAATATTTGCACATCTACAAAACATTTAAATTGTTCAAAGAAGCTTTAAATAAACATTTCTTGAGTATAAATATATAGACAGTCTATAACAATTTTTTAAAAGGGATAAAATACTCAAATATTAAATATTTAAAAACATAACTAAAATCTGTTTTGTATGCACTTATATTTTTCCTTGACAGATGCATGTAAATATACATATATATATACATATGAATTTGTGAATGTTGAAATCTGCATGCATAACCAATGTAGATATCTAATGACAGGAAATATCATTACAAGGTTCTTGAAAACTTATGTAAGATGACCTATGTATGTTTCAAAATGAAGGCACATCCATCATACTTTTATATATATATATATATATATATATATATATATATATATATATACACACACACACACCTGCACATCAGGTAGGCCTTTACATTAATGTTTATTTAAATATATATATATATATATATATATATATATATATATGGGTGCATGTGTAGGTACGTGTACACAGAATTGTTTACTTTATCGTTTTTTTAAATTTTTTCTTTTCTTTTATTTGTCTATCCTTTTTTTTCTTTTTTTTCTTTCTTCCTTTGTCTATCCTTTTTTTCTTTCTTCTTTTGTTTATCTTTTTTTTTCCCTTTTGTCTCTACTCTTTTCTTTTCTCTATTCTTTTGTCTAACCAGAAAACCCTCTATGAGGAGAGGAGAGTTTAGACTTTGAACAATGAGTGATATATTCCTTGTGGCATCAAATAAGCACTGGGTGAAATGTGAAAGATGGGGACAAGGGACTGAAAGTGCTGGGATCAGGGCAGCTAGAAATTGGAATGGGATTGGAAAGTTGGCAGAATCCCTGAGATGAACAAGGGGAGAATAAAAAGCAAAAAAATGATAACAAAGAAAATTTTTACAAAAGTGTGAATAAAAAAAAAAAAGTAGAAAGGGCTGCTGAGAAGGAATAAACAGTGTTTGAAGAAAGGATAAAAAAAAAAAAAAAAATCTATGATGACCCCTAAATATATATTGTGTGCATATGCATATATATTTATATGCACACACACACACACACACACACACACTCATACCTACAAACGAGTGTGTGTATATATATATATATATATATATATATATATATATATATATATATATAGTTTCTGCAGGCAGAGGGGTAGTTTGATTTGGAGGGTCATGGGGCTTAAGAATTATAGAATAAGGGAGGCAAAGAGAGTGATTGGGATCAGTGGTAGGCACTCTAGTGAGATGAAAATGAATGAAATTGTGGAGCTTTTTTAAAAGTGAAAGCAAAAAAATCTGTGCTTTGGTATCAATGGATGACCTGCTGTGTAATTCTGCGTTTCCTTCACTGTTTTTTTTTTATTAAAATTTTGTTTATTTTTTTCTTTACATCACTAGCAGGCAGATAAGAAACGTTTTTTCTTATCTCTACTTATGTTGTTGTGCTTTTTGTCTTTTATTTCTTTCTTTTTCCTTTTCATTCTTACCAGTTTGTCAGTTTCTTTCCTTTATACACACACACACACATTATATATATATATATATATATATATATATATACACACACCTTTAATATATTCTTTTTTTCTTCTTTCTAATATGAAAATCTATTTTATCTTTCTTTTCCTTCATTCTTTCTGACAACCAGTATTTACTTTGTCCTTTTTTCTTTTAAAACTTTTCATTCATTTCCAATATGCTAGCACTTCCTTTTCTTTTATTTCATTGATTTGTTTTATTCATGAGCAAAAAAGAAACCTATAAAACTATTTCATCAACAAAATTTTTGCAAAGTTGGCTTTTTATTTTAATATATATATATATATATATGCATGTATTTAGGCAGCATATTTTTATTCAAACAGGTTTTGTTAAATGATTTAAACGTACCAATTTATTTTGGTTGAGATCCATTCAAGCTCACGGATTAATTTCTTGGTAGCTTTAGAAAATTGATTAAGAAAAATTTCCTTTCAAATCGTTTTTATTTTCCCAAGTACTTTCAGAATCATCTGAGACCATTATTTAACCAAATATATTTAACATATATATATATATATATAATTTTATATGTGCAGTAAATTACATTTAAGTACGTTATATATACTTAAATGAAGTGTATCTGGTCTTGATGATTTCAGTTACCTAGTTTAAAATTTACACTTTTATCCATTTATTGGCAGGTTCCCATACATAGTGCAGTGAATAGAATGCTGGTCTGACAAGCCATTTATAGTAAGTTCATTTCTCATTACAAATTCCTTGGTCATTCAATTGGTCTTATGTCTGCTTGACTTGGATGAGTTCAACTTAATCACTATCAATTTTACTCTGGGCGTGTTATATTTCTTTCTCTCTTTCATATATATATATATATATATATATATACACACACACACACACACACACACATCTACATCGCACATTTAGTTCTGGTGTTAATATTTATTTTAAATATAAAATATATATCCCATCTATTTTAAATACAGTACTATGAGGAATAATATGTATTTTATTTATTATATATATATATATATATATATATATATATAGAGAGAGAGAGAGAGAGAGCGAGACAGTGTAGACATAAAAATCATGACTGTATGGCAATTGGAGTCAGTTTAGACAATTTGTCTGATAGACACAATGATGTGTTAAACTGACAGTCACCATGCTGTGTTGATTCTCGCACTAGTTAAGTTGGCTGGTCCACTTGTAAACTTTTTTGGGTGGGGGAATAATTTATGGATATTAGCATTCATTAGACATCCCTCAAGCCACAATATTTGTCAGACTTGAAAAATATTTTATCATTTACTCAATATATGATTCAGAGTTAGAATATAAATTGTATGTGTGTGTTTGTGTGTATTGTTTAAAGTTTGTTATATTTATTGGGGAAAAGTACTCAGTATCAGAGATAATGTTTATATTAGTACACAGTCCAATCAGTCTTTGATTTCTTAACTCCTTCCCTGGCATAGATGTGTATATATGGTATAAACATTTTTACCAAAAGTGTCTTTTTCAAAACTCCTCCAGATGTGTTTATACTTCGAGCTTGATTTTTTTGTGCCCTTCTGAGCTTGAAACGAGTTCAATTGCCAATTCATACATCTGGTAGAAGTATTAACGATGTCTTAGGTACTTCAAGCTGCCTCCTTAGTCACTATATTAAAAGCAAATAAAATAATTGGTTGAAAATGAAATGTTTAGCCCAAAATAATTGGTTGGGAAGGGGTTAAAGAGTTATCTGTGCCTGCTTTTATTTATAAATGTCAAATATGTAACTCTGCTTACGCCATTCATGACTACGGATGTATTAATACATGATAGCATACAGTTATCAATGACATTAACACACTTTCAAACATTTGTAAATAAAAACAAAGGTTAGATAATTCTTTAATAAGTCATGGATATTTTTGTAATAGGGAAGGTTAATGAATAGAATAATCACACAAAGGTTGGTAATGAATGATAATACTTAGGACAAGAACAACACATATAAGATTCACCAGCAACACATAGAAGTAGTCAACTGCTAGAAGTGAGTCAAATGAATTCCACAATGAATCTTTAACTGCAGACCAACATACAGTATTTACTACTGTATTTATGTGAATAGGGACATACCCATTATTGTCTGTAGGTATGCTACAACAGATATATTGGCCACTGTATTTATACTATGAAAAGGACTCCCACTTCTAAAATGATAAAAAGCAGTATTGTATTTTTTCTGACAAACATCATGGCTTGAGAAAGGTCAAATTTAATAATCTGCAAAAATGATTCCAAAAACATTTTTTCACTTTTTTTGACCAGTGGACTGGTTAGTTTGAGTAATGTCTTCATTCCTATGTTCACACTCTCTCCATTTATAAATTCTCTTTCTCTGACAATTAGAAAACTTTAAGCAATATACTTATATATGCAACTCCTGAAAACCTATGGAGTATTTCTACTATGAAACCTGGAAAACATTAATATCAACTCTTCTCTTCAGAATGTAATGGCTCTCCACAATTTCCTGTCCTTTGTAGCTCTTAATGAATTTTATCTTTTTTTTTATCTCTCCTAAGCTTTGCACAGTCATCCATTTACCCAAACTTGCTCAGTAGGTTATGTGTTGTTTTCTTCTGTCAAGCTTGCCTTTAATTTCTCCTGTGAATATCAAATTTTCCAAACCCTCTTTCCTTATTGTGTGTCCTGGAAATTTCAGTTATCTCTTTCTGATTTTAATATATGTATATATTCTTCTTCTATGTGCCATGTCCATTCAGGATTTGAACAGTCTTTCTACAACCTCCTATACTTTGTAACTCTTAGAAAACTTCATCTTTTTGCTATCCTTCCTAATCCATGTTCAGTCATCTATTTACAGAAGCTTATTAGAAAGGTTACTTGCAGCTTTTAACTGTCTGTTTTGTCTTCCTGTGAGTGTTAGATCCTGTAAGCCTTCTTTCCTCATTATTCTTTATAGAAATTTCAATGATCTTTTCCTAATGTTAAGTGTTAAGTATCCTTTTTTCCATTTTCTCTAAGACTTTGTTGTTGCTCACATGTTCGGTCCATGATATTCTAAGCATCCTTCTGTAGAAACATATTGTGTTGCTTCAAGTCTCTTCTTCTGTGAGGAGATTGTCCAGCATTCACTTCCATACTTCTCCCTAAAAACATTTTCATTTCACCCCCACCACTATACAAACTAAAATTAGTAGAAGAAAATTAAGTCTTATTGAAAAAAATGAGATATAAAAGACATTTCTTCTTAAATTTGGAACACTATAAAAATGCCAAACACAAGATTTGGTCTGAAGTTGGCATTGATGTATGAAACTGACAGTCACCAGGCAGTTTTGATTTCTATGTCTGCACTGTTTATTTATATAAACACTCCATCTCCGATATTGAGTACTCTTCCTCTATAAATATAAATTCTAAACAATACTCATGCATATAATTTATAATCTAATTTTGAATCCTTTATTTCAAAATGCCAATAAACATCTCAAATAACCCATCAACTTTAGATGATATCAAGTTCATTTAGCACCATTTTAGTGTACCTAACTCTTCAATTTACTCAAAATACTGAATTGGCATTGATCTTTGCATAAGTGCTTTCCTTGAGTCATTTTATTTGGTGGTTTTCTTACATCATTGGCAATCGGTGTTCAGATTAAATTTCAATTACTCAAATTCAGTTGAATTTGTTACATTTACTTACTTTGAAAAGGTATGAATCCATCTCTTTTTTCTGACAGAGTGGGTCCTATAGCTTTAGTTTGCAACCAGTCTACCACAGAAAGAAATGGAAAACTACTGCAGGAAAATCTCTGCTTAGATATGAATAAAAAAAGACATGATTGCCCAAGTGTGTATTACATATGGAACTTCACTGACTGACTGAAATTCAAACAGAAAATCTTTTTTTTATGCTATGGTTCACCCAATACAAACCCCAAGAGCTACTCAAGGTAGAGAGTTAATGAATGAGGTTGTTTTAAAGGCATAATTCATCTTGACCTGGTACCTCAGTTTGTCATTTTCCTACCACCATAATGTAGCTTCCATGTCCCTTTTCTATAAATACTTACATGGTAAAGGATGAACTTTCCTCTTTCATACCTAGAATTAACAAATTAGTACTAAATTGGTAGCCAGGTCTCATTTTAAACTCAAAATGGCTTGAAGTAACTAATTTCTATGCTAACAGTTTTTTCTCTTGCACATTTCACTTGTAGAACTCTGGGCTTCTTACTTTCCGGACAAGTTTAATCTTCAAAAATCTTAATGCAATCTGAATTGCTATCTTCTGTCTTCTTAATTCCATTTCTTTTATTGTTCTTGAAGAAATTAAGATTGTAGTGGTCAAGAAAGCATTCTCTTAGGAGTCTGGTCTACAAACTCTTCTAGAGAAGAAGCTGTCTGCGGAATGAAGATGAGTTGATTGCCATGAAAGGATCAATAGAGAAACCAGAGTCTAATAACTTTTTACTTGTGAAAAAGGGGTTGCAGGGTGGGAAATAATTCATCACCCACAAGTTTGCATAATTCCTTTTGGACTTGTTTAGGTTAAAAGTCAGGATTGGGCAGCACCAGCCTAGTTATATCTTGGTATGACAAATTCTCAAAATCTATACAAATTTGTGTTTGTACTTTTTTTAAATATATCTGCATTTTTCTTCTTTTTTACAGTTAATTTCCCCTTTGTTATTTTTTCTGCATCTATTTCAGTCCTGTTTGTTATTCTTTATCATATTTTCAGTAGTTTTTTTTCATATTTCATTTTTTTTATATCATTTGCTATAAAAACTTTCAACTGTTTTTATATGCATTTCATATCTTTTAACTTACTTTATATCTATTGATAAGATAAAAACATACTTATATTACCAATCACACTAGATTATTTTCTGTTAGAGTCCTTGTTACATTTTTTTATCTATTTCAAGTTACCTCTCAAATCCATCTATCTTAAATTTGTATGTTTTCATTTTTCTCTTCTTTCTTTTTTTTCTTTCTCTTTTTTTTTCTTTCTCTTTTTCTTCTTTCTCTTCCTGTTGATTCATTTCTATTACATTGATTTTTACACTGTTTTTTTTTAATTTCTTTCTTTTTTTTTTACCATCACTGTGACTACTGTTTATCAGATTTTCTTTGTCTTTGATTTTCTATATTTGCATATGTTTCTTTGCAATAACTTTTATACTGTTTGTTTTTCTTTTCTCTCTCTCTCTTTCATCCCTTTAATTCATCTTCTTTCTATTTTATTTTTCTTGATTGTTCTATGTCTCTTTCTACTTCACAATTCTTTCTTGAGCTTTATGTCTATCTTTATCATGGTCTCAACTGCCTTGTATCATTTTCAGCAAACTCTGCTCTGCCCTTGACTTCTTTGGTAAATGTCTGTTTCCAATTTAAATTCTTTTCTGTTTATGTTTTTCACTTAAACCCTTTTTCTTTTAGATTTCATATAAAACCTTTATTATTGTTTTCCTATAAAATCTTTCTCCTGATAGTTTTCCTGTAAAATCTTTCTCTTCATAATTTTCCTGTAAAATCTTTCTCTTCATAATTTTCCTGTAAAACCTTTCTCTTCATAATTTTCCTGTAAAATCATTCTTTTCATAATTTTCCTGTAAAATCATTCTTTTCATAATTTTCCTGTAAAATCATTCTTTTCATAATTTTCCAGTAAAATCATTCTTTTCATAATTTTCCAGTAAAATCATTCTTTTCATAATTTTCCAGTAAAATCTTCTTTTAATAATTTTCCAGTAAAATCTTTTCTTAATTTTCCTGTAAAATCTTCTCTTAATAATTTTCCTGTAAAATCGTTCTCTCTATAATTTTCCAATGAAATCTTTCTCCTCATAGTTTTCCAATGAAATCTTTCTCCTCATAGTTTTCACATAAAATCTTTCTCCCCATAGTTTTCATATAATTTTACTTTTACTTTATGGATTTCATATAAGGCCTTTATCATTGATTTTCATATTCAGTTCTTATCCTTAGAGTATTTCTATTTTCCATGCAGTTTATATGATTTGCATAATAGTTATCAGGATTTAAAAAGGTATCAGTGAGCAGAGTTCAAGTTTTAGTTACCTCTGTTGCATTCCCTTAGCATGAATCCATTTCTTCTGTATTAAATAGTAAGGTAGACTGTGCCCTTTAGACTTGAGTGGAATCCATCTAAGAACAAGTAAACACTAAATTCAAAACCCTTGGAGAAGACAGTGGGAATGCTCTCTATCTTTCTCAAGAAGGTAAAACAATTTATAGATATTAAACAAAAAGGAATCAATGAAATGCTATGATTGAGACATTTAAAAAAAGAAAATTATGCTAAAATTGTTTTTCTAATATTTATTTTTAGAATTTTCAGAGACATTAGACCACCAATTAATAATTCTTTGCAACTGGCCCATTCCCAAAATCTTATTATTCTTTATTGAGAAAAAAAATTTAATTAAAGTTTATTTGAATTGTTTTTTTTAAATTCCTTCTTTTTTGTTTTAGGAATCTAAAAATTACAAGCAAAAATATTTACTTTTTCATCACTGGATAAGATCAAAATGTAACATTATATATTTTGTTTGTTAGTAAACTTTTGACCTAGAAGCAAGAAGTACATTTATACACAGAATTAAAAAAAAATTAGCAAGGGAAGCAGTGGACTACCCACTTGATTAGTTTATATGAATGAATGGCAGAATGGGGAGGAGTTAAAAGAATGATAAAAATATTAACATTACTAATCACTACAAAGAATAGGAAGTTATGTAAAGACATGATTGCCTACATCTTTTAAGGGATAAGTCTTCACCAAAGGAAATAAAGTTATTAAGTAAAGTAAAGAGATAATCCTCTTTATTTTATGTTCATAATTTCTGTGTTTCACTGCTTAAATATTAAAAAAAAATTGTTTCTTCAATACATTTTGGTTTTGTTCTGAAAGTTCTTTAGGTTGAAATTTTTTGATTTTTCTTAGTTTTATCTCCTTTTAGCTTTTATTTTTATTTATACCATCTTCATCATTTGTAAATTTGTCAAAAACTTTATTTTGAGCTCTGCTTCTTTCTCTCTTTCTGATATATTTAAATTTAAGAGACTTGGAATTTGTAGCTCTCAGTATTTACATAAAAAACAAAATGGAGAAATATATTGAAAAAAACTTTTAATCTCCTCCAATATCCTCATTATTTCATTTCCAACATGAAACAAAAGATTCATAAAATATTTCAAAATAGAAAAGTAGATCTTCCTGACAAATGCAATAAATCAAAACTTAAATTATAGTTCTACACACCAACTCTTTCCCTACCACTGAATAGAATTTAACTATGCTCAACATGAAATTTTACAACTATTTCTAAAACAATAAAAGAATTAATTAATACAAAACAAAATAAGCTAAAACTTGAAGATGGAATTTATTATGAAGATGGAATCACCTGTAATAAATGCCACAAGGGATACATAGGAGAAACCTCAAGGAAATTAAATAAAAGTTTATATGACCACACAAAAAAAGGGACCACCATAATGAATGGTTCTGACCATAATTTTGATTTTAAAAATGCTACTAAAGGAGAAAGCAATTTAAGATGAAAATATTTGGAAAATGCTTTAATTACTATATCATCTACAGTAAATTTATATGCAGGTTCTATCAACATTTCACCTTTCTTGTCAGATCTTCTTTCATCACAATGTGGGATATTTAATAACAAAATTGATGGAAACATGAACAAGAAGAAAAAGAACCTAAATGAAATTGGCTAGACTATATATATATATATATATATATATATATATATCCAAAAACATATTTAAAAAAAATAATTAAATTCAATTTTTCAGTGTGTCCTTATGTGCGTTTGTAAATTGCATTGATGTAAACATCATGAAGTGCTAAATGACAAAATGCACCACAAAACAAGACTTTTTCCACTTTGTCATAGTTTTTCTTTAAAATTTTTCTTGATATATAAAAATTGTTTTTCCACATCTTTTCTCACTCATTATTTTCCTTTTTCTGTTTACCTAACTTCATAGCACCGATTCACTTGACCATTTTATAATTTCCTTTTCTTCCATCTTTTTTTTTTTTTTTACAATTCTATAAGTTAACTTACACCTTCCACTTCTTTATCCACTTCAGGGAGGGGGAAACTTTATATTCAACCCCTAAACTTTTAACTTTTTTTTCCTTTTTCTTTTCTTTTCCTTTTGCTTTACTTATTTTTTCCTTTTTCTTTTCTTTTTTTCCTTTTTTCTTTTTTTTTTTTTTTTCTTTATTTTTTTTTTTTCATTTCTTATTTTTTCCTTTTCATTTCTTATTTTTTCCTTTTTTATTTTTTCCTTTTTTATTTTTTCCTTTTTTATTTTTTTCTTTTTTATTTTTTCCTTTTTCATTTTTTCCTTTTTCATTTCTTTTTTTTTCCTTTTTCATTTCTTATATTTTTCCTTTCATTTCTTATTTTTTTCCTTTTTCTTATTTTTTTTCTTTTTCTTAATTACTTCTTTTTCTTATTTTCTTTTTTTTTTCTTTTCCTTTTTCTTTTCTTTTTTTTTTTTTTCTTTTCTTTTTCCTTTTTCTTTTAATTTTTCCTTTTTTTTTCCTTTTTTCTTTTTTTCCTTTTTTTTTTTTTCCTTTTTTCTTTATTTTTTCTTTTTTTTTTTTAAATATGTCTTTATCATTGTTACTTTCTTATGTATTTATTATTTTTTATGTTCATAGGCCTATGCTTTTTGTTTTTGATGTAACTCTCTCATTTACACTACTCTCTTCCTTTCTCTTTATTCTGCTTCCTCATCTCTCTCTCTTTTCACTCCTTCTCATTTCTCTTTCCAACGTTTTTTTCATTGTTGCCACTCTTTCTACTTAATTCTCTTTTCTGTAAAGATGAAGCGGAAGACAGATCAGTTTGTCTCTTTTATATCATTTTACAACACTCCCTCTAGGGACTGTTTATATTGCTTTATACAACACTGTCATGCTCTTATTTTAACTCTTCTTATTTCATCTATTGTTAGTTTGATCCCCCCCATGAACATAGTGTTATAATTCCTTACTCATTTTCTTTTCTGTTTTCTTCTTTTTGATATAACACCCCATTGCCCTTCCCTTTGTTTCTATGACCCTTTCCTCTTCACCATCATTTCATCTTCTCTCTCTGCTATTTTTTTTTAAGTCTTATATTGTTAACTTTATCTTTCCATTTGTAAGTTCACTCACTTAATCTCTTATGTAATTGTCACCCTTCTCTCTTTCAAGTCGCTTCTCTAATCTTTCTTGATCTTCTTTTCTTGAGGGGAATGATTTATTCTCACACCAACCTACAAAAGAACAAGGAGAAAAATAATAGTTTTGATTAAATCAAAAGCTGATTCAGCCATCACAGAAATTACCAGCCTTATGAAGTGAAGATCTTCCCCATCAGGATTGAGTTGCTGACCAGGGAGTCTCTTTTCCAAAGCCTAAGGGTACTACACCAAACAAATGTTAGCCAGCCAGGCCTCTAGCCAGCAAATTTCTGAAACCACCCTTTCACTATTTTTCTAATTCATAGCCATATTTATGATGGTGATGAGAAATGGCTAAAAATATTTCAGAGGGTGATGAAAAATGGCAGAAAATGTGATGAAAAATGGTTGGAAATGACAGTGCTAATAGTGTGTGGGTGCTAATAGAAGAAGATAGGAATATGTCAGTGATGCTATAATTTTAAAATTTTAACACTTATAGATGGGAGTTCAGATAATTATGTTACTTAGGTACCACCAGGTATTTAAAAATAAAAAGAAAGCAGGAAACCCAAAAATGCATTTTAAATTAAATGCCTTTGATAAATTTTGGTTTTTAGTTGACAGATAATAGCCTAAAGCTAAACTGTGTGCAAAGAAAAATAAATTACCATATGCAAATAAAGTTTTTAAGCATTTTTAAATCATTGGCACATTCTTTCATCACTCATCAACTCACTGAACTGTTTTTATAGATGAAAATTGTATACAAGAAATTTAAAAAACTCTTAAAAATCTTATATTTGTCCTAGAAAGGTGTTACAAAGTAAGTAAATTTCAGGATTAACTAGATTTTTTTTGTAATGCCTATTGTAGGAGAGTCTTTGTAAATCACAGATACAACAATAGTAATGCCTTTGAACAATACTCTGTCAGGCGCCGCTAATTCCCATATATATATATATATATATATATATATATATATTTTTTATTATTATATATATATTTTTTTTTTTCTTTACCCGTTACATGTTTGTTATAGAGTGATTTCACAGTGGAGGCTTGTATTTGTACTAAGTCAGTCCTAAAATAGGTTTGACGTACAAAACATTAGGAACTTGATATAATAGGTATAACG